ATGTCACATCTTGCCAAGAGTATCGTCAGCTCCAGTCCTTCTACCTCTAATTTCCATCCCAACAAAGGGGAACCATACTCCAAAGTTACCTGGAAGCCACCCCCATCCCACATGGCTCTTCCACAATCTAATAATCTTGAAGACAATGTGAAAAAATAGATTATACTTCTCTCAATACAAACTGTCCCACATGAATAAAGAAAGCACAACTTTTCTTTATATTCTTGTGAAAGACATGTCTCAAAGTGGGTTTCTAAAATAAATAAATAAATTTCATTTTCAAAAAGAAAACTATTGTGTAAATATTTATGAAGCACTACAAATCTTAGGTTGAGGGCTGCAACCATAGCATTTGAGAAATTTTGTTCTTGCATTACCAATGGAGAACAGACAACCTACTGTGAAGAAGTTGGGGCTTGAGAACCTATTAGCAAGGACAGAAGGCTTGGCTTCCTCACAGAAAAGAGCCTTTCATATGGAATTTTAGTTTACTGTTTCTAGAGGCTATTTTTGCCAAGTTCCATTGTCACAACCATGAACAAGAAGCAATCCATTAGGTTGCTTAGAATGCAATCCATTCTAAGACTAAGTGGCCCTGAATTACATTGGAATGGTAATTTAAGAAAAATAAGAATATGAAAGAGTTACATTTATATAAATCTAAATATTAAACATTACCTTAGGGACAGAAGGAAACTTTTAACATTCTGTAACATCACACTGCTTTAAGTCAGTAACAGCCACCTCTCTATTGTGTAATTTTCAACATCACCTTGTTTCAGGCATTGTGCTGCTTTTCATGCATGATCCCATTTCATTTTTACAACATTCCTCCAAGGTCTTTTATTGATGAAGAAATAAAGGCACACAAAAGCTGAGTTCCTGCCTAGAAGGCACACAGCTAGTAAACAACCCAGGTCTGAATGAAGTTTACACTTTTCATAAACAGCATGTAAACTAAAGCCATCTCAAGACTCTATAACAAGTTTACAAAAGATCAAGTTGTTGCAGTGAAAATTTTCAAAAAGCCACAGGAAAATAAACCATCATCCCAGAAATAAACTTAAGTTGTAGGAGTAAAATATAAAGCATTGCCTTAGGCCAACGATTTTCAACTGGCGTGTCGCAATGATTTTTAAAACATGCAATAACTGACTATTTAGTCAGAAGCTCTGAACTCTTTTCCCTTGGATTGTGAAAAAAAAAAAAAAAGACAGCAAGCAGCACAACAATAGCCATCCAGTGTGAATGAATCAAAATTATACCTAATTTTTTTGTCAGATTGACAAAAAATATATGTTTTGGTGTGCCACAGAATGTTAGCAATTAGCTTATGTGAGATGTGAGATGAAAAAGGTTTAAATTGCTCTCTTAGGCTAATGCCAGAAACAGTTTATTTATTACTAGTCTCACTAATTTTTTTAAGGAACTAAAAACATTTTGAAATAAGTTTTGAAAATTTTCACCAGAATTTGGTAAGATTATGATCAAATGTTCACTGAGTCCCCACTAGGTGCCATGTACAGTTAGGTATTGGGATACAGAAATCCATAAGTAGCTGTTTTCATTCTCAAAAAATTCAGTGGTGTTGGTAGATCCAAGTACAGTGTCAAACCATAATACACTGTGGAAAATATAATAAAGAGTGAGATGTAGGGTATTACAGAAACAGTGAAGAATGATATCTAATGTAGCCAGTGGGTGGTAGGGGACTTTACGGGAGGAAGAGTAGTGAGCAGTTGCCTGCTGCAGGCAGAGGACTGCTCTCTAGGCAGGGTGCAAAACCTGGGCACCAGCCAGAAGCAGGAAGTAGTGTACAGTACATGGGAGGACCCACAAGAAGGTTAGGGTTGCTGAAGCATGCAGTAGGAGACAGGAAATGGTCATGGTTGGGGACGTAGGTAGGACCCAAATCATGAAATTTAAACCAGTGAAGCATTTAAGAAGGGAAGTGACATGCTCAGAATTATCCTTTAACTAAATCCTTCAAGGGTTGTATGAAGCATGGACTTGGAGACACAGAGCCATGGGTTTAACTCCCGGCTGTGGAGCTTATTAGCTGTGTGAACTTTAGCAAGATATAAAACCTTCTAAGTCTCAGTCTTGTCTATTGTAAAATGAGAAGTAAATGAGATAATGAATGTAAAGCACTGGAACAGAATAAATGTAGCTCTTGTTATTAATATTGTAAGCGTAGACGTTCAGAGACCCATACGGGAGTCCAGATGACACATACTGAGACCCTGACTAGGGATAAGAAAAAAGGACAATCTGCAATTTAGAAAACAGAATTGCCAAAACTCGATAACCAGCAGATGATAGGAGTGTGGAGAATTGAGAAGGAGGAACCATCAATGAGCTCTAGGTCTAGGAAGGATGACTGAATGGCTGGTGACTGGTGGTGCTCCTGACAATATGGGAGGCAGAACAACTTTTGGGAGTCTGACTCACGCTGAGGAGGTGTGCATTCAGGAATGGGTACCCAGAAGGTCAATGGATGAGTTTGGAGTCTGACGTGCAGGTGTGGCTAGGAGTTAGAGAAGTAGGTGTCAAAAATATCCCATATCACGAGAAGGGAAGTAATCATCTACAAAGGACATGTTCAGTCAGAAGGGCAATGAGCTAGGTCAGCCCCTGGGAACAACCACAATTTAAGGGCAAGGAGAGAAAGAAAAGCCCCAAAGAAAGAAAAGAACCTAAGAGGACAAGAAAAGGCAGGAGGACTCTTCATAAGGAAAGCTAAAGGAGCAGGATCTCACAGAGAGGGTCATCAGTGGCGCCCAATGTAGTTCAGAAGTCCAGTGAGTTGCACACATGCTCGGAATTTGGCAGAAACTATTGCTGATTATAGACCAAAGGCAATTTTGGTAGAACAATGAGGACAGAAGACTGACTATTGGGTTTAAGTATAAATGGGAGTGGCGAAGTGCAAAGAATCTGCCATAAACTTTATAGCTGCAAGGGAGAAAGGTCCAGTTAAAATGTAGAGACAAAGGTTAGGTTAAAAATTATTTTTCGGGTGGAGCACTGAGCACTTTGTGAGCTGAAAAGAAAAAGGTAGATGACAAAGGGTGATGATGCAGGAGAGAGAATCACTGGCAGAACAAGGAAACAAGAAGGAACTTTTAAGCATCTACTGTGTCAGGGGCACCTGTTGACAAGCCATCAGAGCAGTGTGACATGGATGCTAGCCTGTGGAATACCTTCCGCAAGAGGACCAGAGGGGCTGACTATGAGTTTCCTTGCCCCAAGACTGTGCCTGCTCACCTCTCTACTCCCACTGCCCAACACAGTGCCTGGCACTCTTCTGCTAGGCATTCAACAATGTTCTTGGTATGAATGAATAAATATTCTTGTCAGATACTTTATTTCCAAGGGGAAAAATAAAATAGATATGAGAATATTCTAAGGCAAACAAAAGAAATGTGAGTACTATAATACAATGAAATATTAACTATAACAACAGTACACATGCTCAGAAAACATATGCATCTAAGAGCTTTCTAGGCAGCTGAAGGTTGAGAGAGTTGGGGGGAATGGTGGCACAGGGTTCAATATGTGGAGAAGGCCTACAGTGGTTCCAGAACTCTCTCTGGCCAAATATATCTCCCAATATGCAAGCCTATGCTTAAAGTTCATCTAACCATTTAAGAAGGGACAATTATTTTCATCTCAAAATTGTAGATAAAAGATTAAAAAGAAAATGTGTGTGAGATTATACATCAGCTAAAGCCATTCACCATAAAATCAAATGAGTCAGACAGGTTCTGGCTCAGAATGGTCTGGCTCCAAGTGAGGTTCCATTTACTGCTATGTGACCTGGGCCACATCGTTTAATCTTCTCTGGGAAAGCGGGCCGTGTGATAGATGAGTCCCCAAGTCCTTTTCAAATCAATTGTTCGTAAGTTCTGAAACAGTGATTCTTAACCTTCTGGGATCACATACTCTTCCGAGAATCTAATGAAAGCTAGGAATTCTATTCACCAAGCCCCAAAATAAACATAGAAACATGCATACAAAATTCTGCAAATCATTTGAGAAAGTCCTGACTGTAGGGTTTCTTCCTACTGGGAAAAGAGCCAAGGTGCAACTCTGTATAATGAAGATGCTTTGTGTTCCTTTAAAGTAATGGGTCCAGGTACCACAGTGATCCCTGTGAGAATCACGGCGGACAGTTTGCCGTGTGTCCACCTGCACTGTAAGCTTCCCTATCTCTGAATTCTCTAGTGCCAAGTGTGATGCCCTGAATATATTAAGAACCCACTAAATCTGTGAATCAGGGCCATAATGGTTTGTATGTATAGTTCTCAAGTTTTCAGACCTTCAGTTCTTCTGAATTAGTACCAACTGCAAATCTGCCCTTTGAGAATCAACTATGGGCTTACTATACAGGGTCTGTCAACTTTCCAAAACTGATTTCCATTTAATTAAAGGGGTTCAGCCAAGACTAGAAACCACCTTGGTTCCAGAGCAAAATTTGATGACCCTTCCCTTCCCCCCAAGAAAACACACTATATCTGCTTTTAGTAGAAATCCCTTATAATTGTATAACCCTTTATACTTATAGGTTTCCAATCTCTCTCACATACATTATATATTCATCTGAGATGCAGGCGATATATGCAGTACTCCCATTTTAAAGGTTAGAGAATATAACATTTCAGTGATCACAGAAAGAGCTTTCTATAGCACCAGGACCCCAAGTCACATTTTTATAAATATGCTTGTGTTTCTCATGAGCCTATAACAAGAAGGTAGGATAAGACTCTAAACTGACAGAGCAAATAGCTGTGACATTTAACAAATGTTCAGTGATAACATCTAAATAGCACTTATGATTTCAGAAACTAAAATCCATACCAATTTAAGCAATATCATACATAATAAGTAAAGTTTATTTTTTCTAATATTTAATAAGAATCAAAAGAGCCCATTATTTATGACTTTAGAAAAAAACAATTCGCTGTACATAATAAGGGGGGTGGTAATTCTATACTTACCTATTGCACAATGTAAAATCTAGGGAAAAAAAGAGAAAAAAATTAGCAAAGATCAGTAATATTATAGCTTTATTTCATATAAACTAGCCTTTCAGTAAGAATAACGCAGTATCTGCCAATAGTATTGAATTTTAAAAACAAACATTCCATTTTAAAACTTGGTTAGGGGCTATTGAACAAAATGTAAATTCCTGTTCAGTTTTTTGTTTGTTCATTTTAGTTTGTTTATGTATGGAAGATTTCCTAGGGAGTAAATCTCTCCCAGTAGTCTATTAGAAGTAGTGTTTTATAATATATAAACTTCTAAGAGCAGTAAGTATATATTTCCCATGTCTCACATTCTACAGAACTGTTCATAGACTAGAGAACACGGGGTTAGAAAAGCCTTTGTTGGCCCCTTTTGCCTGGCAGGCCCTATTCATTCTACAAAACTCTACCCATCATTCCTATCTTATCTCATTTCACATCATTACAGGGATGTTCCTGGCCTAATCTCTACCTCGATGTCTCTGAGCTCCAGGCCCACATTCCAAACTTCCTCTGAAATCTTCATCCACCTGCACTAGCAGCAGTTCAAACATGGCATGCTTCAATGGTTAGCACACCAACCCGCTGGTTTCTCAGGTTCAACCATTCTTTCCTTCCTCTCACCTCCAAGTCCAGCTGGTTTCCAAGTCTTGACAATACTTCTGGCATTTGTTGTCCCTGTTTTTTGTTATTTTTTTTTAATTCCAGTACCTGGGATGAGATTGCTCTCTCTTCATTTCAATGGCCATCCAATGGGCCAATTAGGTTCTTCTAAATCTCCTTCCAATTAATCCTATATACGGCATTGCTTTAAATCAGGTGGTAAGACCTATCAGCCTTGTAGTGCGTTTTAGAATTACTTTTCCCTAGCAGTCTTTGTGTTGTTTGAGCCTAGCAATTACCTTAGTAGATAGGCAAGACAGATATCTCCACAGGCAGATGAGAAAACCGAGGCTCAGAGAGGCTGCACAATTTGCCTAAGGTATTAAGTGATGTCTAGGATCAAGAATCTAGACTTTATTTCCACTGTTGATTTTTCTATCATGGTATTCAACTGTACAGTAGTTTTATATCTACAGAGCCCACAATTTGATTATCTTATCTAATTATCTTATCAAAATGATTTAGCTCATCTAAAACACACTTGATAAGACTGCTCTATAACAATCACAGTAGTCCCCCCTTATCCATGGTTTCAATTACCCACGGTCAACTGCAGTCTGAAAATATTAAAAGAAAATTCCATGAAAAATTCAAAGTTTAAGTTGTGCACTGTTCAGACTGGTGTGATGAAATCTCTCACTGTCCCACTCTGTTGTACCCAGTATGTGAATCATCTCTTTGCCCAGCATCTCCACACTGTATATACACTACTTGCCCATTAGTCGCTTAGTAGCCATCTGGGCTATCAGATCAACTATTGTGGTATCGAAGTGCCTGTGTTCAAGTGGCCCTTGTTTTACTTATTAATGGCCTCAAAGCACAAGAGTAATAATAATTCAAATATGCCAAACAGAAGCTATAAAGTACCTCCTTTACATGAAAAGGTGCGTATGTATAGGAAAAAATAGTATCTGTAGGTTTGGTACCATCTTCAGTTTCAGGCATCTATTGGGAATCATCCCCTGTGGATAAGGGGAGACTATGGTATTTCACTAAGTTGTTTTTTTTGGGGGGGGGGGGGAGAGACTTAGATTAAAAAAATCAGGCTCCACAAATTTATTGATAACTGATAAAAATTACTATACTACAAATCTTATAATCTTTTCCAAAAGAAAACACTGCTAAGAATCTCAAATGTATAAATTTTACGAGACAAGCTGAGCCTCCTGCTGCAAAGTTGGAGAAAACTAAATGATATATGTAGATTATTAAAACAAGGAATGGAAGACATAAATTAAAACATGCTCGCCCTGGCCAGTTTGGCTCAGCGGTTGAGCGTCGGCCTGTGGACCAGAGAGTCCCGGGTTCGGTTCCCATTAGGGGCACGTGCCACACACACACACACAAAAAAACAACAAAAAATACCATGCTTGAAAACCAATTCTATGAATATCTGTGGCAAGACATCCAAGCTTCAATTAACAATAGCACATTGCAGGAAAGGATATAGATGGTGCTGGAGGGCTATCTTGTTTTCTTTACATGACGGAACTGTGGGTCTTAGTCCTATTAGACCCAATCTCCCTCTTTTAATCACATACACTTTATAATGCCTCCTTTTCTACCCTGAAGTGCAATTCACAGATGATATAACCTACCTACACAAAAATTTTCAGAAAAATACAATGTCCTGTCATGTAAAGAATATAGAAAGTAATTTATTTTTAAAAATATGCATTTCAGTATATAAATATTTGGGAACAACATATGACATAATGAAGCAATCAGATATATATACCTACTTATAATGAATGTTGGAATTTAAAAATAAAAATATAAGAAACTACTTTGCAAAAGTATAGAAAAATAGCCCTGGTGAGGTAGTTCAGTTGGTCAGAGCATCATCCTGATATGCCAAAGTTGTAGGTTTGATCCCTGGTCAGGGCACATACAAGAATCAATCAATGAATGGATGGATAAGTGGAAAAACAAATCAATATCTCTCTCTCTCTCTCTCTCAAAATCAATCAATAACTTTTTTTTAAAAAAGAGAGATAATAGTGAAAATAAGAATGTAATCTTAAGTGAAGTGGAATGATATGCCAAAGTAAATACCAGTCGAAGTAGAGAAAATGAGGAGGTACAATATTATTGCAAATCAGCTGGATCCTATATATTTCTAAGTGTGGTGTCAAAATAGTCCCCTAGGTTATATCATGGGATGGGGTAAGAAGCAACTATCACAGAAAACATCCTTCTGCCTTAAATCCCGCTGAGACATACAATCTGTCTAGTTTGTAAAAAGACCATGGAGAACATTGTCTTTGATTGGTGCGATAAGGAATAGAAGATAAGGAAAACCAGTAACCCAAGAGACAATAAAAGCAGTTTTGTAATAGACTGGAGATAGCTTTAGGATAAAACATAAAAATTACAGCGATCCCTCCAAAAGGAAATAATATGAAATATTATTAAAATAGTCCAGATTAAAGAAATCCAGTAAATTCCCTGCATGTCACACATCTCCACTATCTTAATAACTAAAGTCTGGACAGGGATCTTAAATTTCCTGTTACATATTTTCAATGTTTCATTGCTTTTGCAATAACAACACTATTGCACTGAAACACTTTTAAACTAAATGTGCAACCTGGAAATGCTGTAATACCTATAGAACAGAATGTGCGGAGTGAACAAATTACTCAATTATTTTGAGATGATATCTTTATTTCACTTAGGTTCCCTCTTCATACCAACGGTGGTAGGCAGAATTCTAAAGCTATTTATTTCCCCAAGATTCCTGTTCCTTGGTTATGCAATTAAACACTAATCTAGGTACTTCAGTACAGGGATTTTGCAAATGTAATTGAAGTCCCAAATCAACTTATTTTAAGGTATGGAGATTATAAGGGTAGGCCTGATCCCACCATGTGATCCCTTTAAAAGCAGGTTTCGCCTTGGCCAGTTTTGCTCAGTGGTTAGAGCGTTGGTCTGCAGTCCAGAGAGACCCAGGTTCGGTTCCCACTAAGGGTATATACCTTGGCTGCAGTTTGTCCCCAGCCCTGGTTGGGTCATGTGGGTGGCAGCCACTCGATGTGTCCTTTTCACGTCAATGTTTCTCTCTCTCTCTCTCTCTCTCTTCTTCTCTCTCCCTCCCACTCTATCTGAACAAAAAACGAAAAAATGTCCTAGGGTGAGGATAAAATAAATAAATAAATAAAATAAAATAAAAGCAGTTTTCTCTAGCTAGTGGCAGAAGGGGAGTCAGAGATATTCAAAGAACAAGAAGGATTCTATGAGTCGTTGTTGGCTTTGAAGATGGAGGGGGCCATATGCAAAGACTGGAGAGCAGCCTCTAGGAGCTAGGAGTGACCTCTAGCTGACAGCCAGCAAGGAAATGGGGACTTCAGACTTACAACAAGGAACAACAGGATTCTGCCAACAAGCTAAATGAGCTGAGAAGTAGTTTCTTCCTGAAGACCCCAGAGTCAGCCTGGCTGATGCCTTGATTTCTGTCTTGTAAGACCCTGAACAGAAAATCCAACCTTTTGACTTACAGAACCATGAGCTGACAATACATAAGCATTGTTTTAAGTAGCTAAGTGTGTGATATTCTGTAAAGCAGCAATAGAAAACTAAGACAACAACCATCTTCTAACTTAATAAGCATTTTGTTCGATTTCTTGTGAAGATGTTTTAGTATTAATATGCACTAAAAACTATCATTTATATTTGTAGGGGGGTTAGCTTGGGGGGAATATACAAAATCAGGGGGGATGCAGAACAAATCTTCACTGACTTGGACTGTCTTAGACATTGCAGGATATCTAGTCAGCAGCATCCCTATCTATGTGGTGATCAAAATACCCTCTACCCTCACAATTTTCCAAAGCGCAATCTGGGGGGTGGGGCTGCTCTTGTAAACCACTGAGAAGCACTAAACTGAAATGAGCATATTTCATTGAAAAAAATGTAGAAGACCTGCCATATTCAAAATATTTCTTGAAATCGTGCAGTAAATAGCTCTTTTCTTGAATCCTTACATTTCACCTACTGGTAGTAAGCTAATTTTAATTTTAAAATTTAACCTCAATGCTGAATGCCTTTTTCCACAACAGGTTACTCAGAAACATCTTTTTTAAAAATATGTTTTTATTGATTTTTTGAGAGAGGGAGACATAGAAACATTGATGAAACATGGATCAACTGCCTCCTGGCACGCCCCCTACTGGGATCGAGCCCACAGCCTGGGCATGTGCCCTGCCCAGGAATCCAACCAGGACCTCTCAGTCCATGAGACGACACTCAATCCACTGAGACACAGCAGCCAGGCTTTTTTTTAAGTTTCTAAGATTGACACTAAGACAATTATTTTTGTAAGCTATCAAC